TATTGGCAGGAAGTTGGAGAGCATGTTTGTTTAGCCGTGAAGAGCTTTTTCCTGGGAGGTCATTTGCTAAAAGAATTAAACCAGACAAATCTGGTTCTAATCCCAAAAGTGGCCCACCCAGTCAATATCACGCAATTTCGGCCCATTTGTCACGACCCAAACCCGGCCCTATGGGTTTAGTACCGTAACCGGCCAGTAATCCGAGATTACCGAAGGCCTGCAGAACAGTTGTTACACCATTAGTCTTTGTAATTTCAGTATAAAAATCATGACCAAGATTCTTGCAAATCGATTGAAGAATATTCTTAAGGACCTCATCTCTCCAAATCAATCTGTCTTTGTTCCCGGGCGCTTGATTCAAGATAATATCCTTGTGGCTCATGAGGCCTTTCATTCTTTGAAGCTTAAGAAGAGTGGAAAGTTGGGAAATATGGCAATCAAACTTGATTTCAACAAAGCCTATGACCGCATCGAGTGGGACTTTTTATATGAAGTTTTGCAGAAATTGGGTTTCCATCCTACTTGGATCCAATGGATTATGGAATGTGTGACTACGGTAACTTTCTCTATTGTTGTAAATGGTGAAAAAAGAGCCTCCTTCATTCCAACACGTGGGCTACGACAAGGGGACCCCCTGTCCCCTTATTTATTTATTTTGGTTGCGGATGTGTTCTCCAATCTCATTTCTCGCAGTCTCTGGGCCCAACAGATTACCGGCTTGAAGATCACACGACATTGCCCCACTCTCTCCCACTTATTTTTTGCCGATGATATTCTCATTTTTCTAAAAGCGGAGACCTCAGAATGTTAGCATGTGCTGAATCTTATTCGGATTTATTGCGAAGCATCGGGACAAGTGGTTAATTTCGATAAGTCAAGTATGCAATTCTCTTCTAATACTCCTCCAGCCGTTTGTAGTTCAATTTGTAACCTTTCAAGTCTCAAAAGGTCTCAACCTGATGCAAGATATCTTGGTTTGCCTTCCTTTTGGGGGCGATCGAAAGCGGAAGCTTTTGAGTATATCCTTGAAAAGGTTTTCTCTAAATTGCATTGTTGGAAGCAAAAATTGTTGTCTCAAGCGGGAAAGTAAGTTCTAATTAAAGCTGTGGTCCAAGCTATCCCTGCTTATGCAATGGCTTGTTTTGCCTTTCCAAAGAAGTTTTGTGCTAAATTAAATTCCTACGTCAGCAATTTCTGGTGGGGGGGAGATCCAGAGGGAAAAGGGGTCCATTGGATTGGCTAGGGAATCATGGGTATGTCAAAACTAGATGGTGGGCTGGGTTTCCGAGATCTCAATACTTTTAATCTGGCTCTTTTGGCTCGGCAATGGTGGGGCTTGATGAAATATCCTCACTGATTTTGTGCGCGAATTTTGAACGGCATCTATTTCCCCCACTCAAATTTTATGCAAGCTACAAAAGGTCGTCGGGTGTCATGGGCTTGGGCAAGTATTCTTCAAGGTCGGAACATTCTACAGCAAGGTGTTCGTTGGCAAGTGAATAGTGGTTTTGATGTCCAATTTTGGGAAGACAGATGGATTCCTTCAATTCCAGGTTTTAAAGTGACCTCCCCAAAACCTGAAGGCACTGATATTCAGAAGGTATTGGATGCTATAGATCCCCTATCCAAGAGATGGAAGGAAAGCTCTCTTCGGTGTTGTATTTCTGAAGCAGAAATTGAGGCCATAAGCTCCATTCCTATCACCTTAGAAGCAAAAGCAAATTCTCTTATTTGGCATTTTGAACTGAACGACAAATATTTGGTGAAGTCGGGTTATAATGTGGCAAGGCCAGAGGCGTGTAGTAAGTGTAGACACCCCATTTTTGACCGACCTTAAGACTCAGACGTCACCAGTTGAGCACTCGGTGATTTTGCATATCGTGCTCGTTCAGAAGTTGCAGAGTCCTGGCTGCGAGCCCTGCCTCCGGACTTCCGAACCCTCTTCTGTGCCTTGCCTCGGTTTGCGAACTAGACTCGGTTTTCTCTGTTTCTTTTCCTGAGGGAAGGTAGAACCGTGACAAATGAGAGTCCTGAGCTGTAGTGACCCCAATATGAACAGAACGGGAGCTCGTTCCTCCCGGGGCGTTCGGGGACGTCTACAGTAAGCTCTCTCAACCTCCTCAGTCTTCTTTTCACCCTTCAAGAAAGTTGTGGAAATTGATTTGGGCCCTCAAAATCCCTCCAAAGCTAAGACACTTTTGGTGGCGTGTGTGCAAGAATGTGCTCACAACAAAGGAGAATCTTTTTCGCAGGAAATATGCGGGGACTTGGCTTTGCCTAATCTGTCAAAAATACCCTGAGACAATTGAACATCTTTTATTCGGTTGTGAATGGGTTAGAGCTGTCCGGTTTGGCAGTGACCTAAAATTTAATATTGAAAGTGGTCCAAACCTCTCGGTCCTCAAATGGTCGAGTGATTTGTTGGACAATTTTGAGTCATCAAAGGAGTGGAACAGTTTTTTCAGTCTAATTGTTTGGATCGGGTGGTTTATTTGGAAAGACCGAAACAATTTTGTTTTCAAACATATTGAGATAGCGCCCTTCTCGACTTTGTTTAGAGCTCGAACGGCAAAATTGGAGTTCGATAAGGCAGCTTGTAGAGATGATATGCCAATTCAGAATGAGGGGGGCTCTTTGCAGAGAAATATAATTTGGCAAGCCCCAAATCCGGGGACCTACAAGATCAACTGTGATGTGGCAATTAAAAAAGGCTCTTCAGAAGCTTCTGTTGCTATTCTGTTGAGAGATTCAGGAGGTAGATTGATAGATGGTCTTACTCAATCTTGGAGAGTTTCATCTTCCCTTCAAGGAGAAGCTTTAGCTTGCAAGTGTGCTTGTCAATTGGCACAAGCCCGCAACCTGAATATGGTGGAGATCGAAGGGGCTAACAAGATTGTAATCTTCTTGTGTGTTTCTGAAACTGATCCGCCTTGGGATTGTAATGTGATAATCGGTGACATCAAGAGCTTGGCTGCGCATGGAAATTTGGCCTTCAGTTGGAAGCCTCGAACAGCAAATCAAGCAGCTCATTGGGTGGCCCAAGCTTCTCTTCACGGAGTACTTCTACTTGATTGGGTTCCAAATCCACTTTCTGCTCTAGCTTTGCTGCTGCAAGAGCATTGAGTTTTGTTGCTTTCTGCTTGTTTGTCTTTGTTTATCTATTTTCCTAGTTCAAAAAAAAAAAAGGATGCCTTGTTGCTGTGCATGGAAGCGATTGGAATTGAGGTCCTTGAAGATGTTAAGGAAATGAAGGAATTGAAATGAAGGAATTGACTAAAATTGAGGAAGCAATAAAATAAGAGGAATCAAAGAAAATCGACCTATCAAACAAAACGGAGAAAGGGGAGGAAATTAAGAACAAATCAAAGGTTAAAGAAAATGAGGAACCTGAACTGAAGAAGCCAGAAGCACAGGAGAGTAGGAAAGCAGCGAGCGAAGAAGACGATGAGATCAACAAAGAAGAGGAGGATGAGATTATTGTGATGAATTTTGAACTCAACTGGCCAGTTGCTCAACTTGAGGGAGACCTGATCATCCCGACCCGAAACCCAACCCGAGAACTACTTGCTAATTGGATTTTATGCAATGTGTGACCTCCCTTTTGATCTTTTCATATGTAAGCTAAAAACTACTTTCCTTTAATGTAGCAGTTGATCAGTAATGCATGAAATAAAAGAATTTTTTTATATGATATTTCATAAAATTTTATTAATTAGTAATTAACTTGTAATTGGACATAAGATAAAGTTAAATCATTATAATAATTGAAGTACTAAAAATGGTAGTTTTTTTAATAGCGCCAAATGAGGTAATTTGGCTAAAACTAATGTCAAAAAAAAAAAAAAAATCAATTGAGCTGACTAATACTATTTATGGAATTATGATTTTCTCTATTATATTTCTATAATGAAGAATTTTGATTTTATCATTCAACGGTGAATATAATAATATTTTTTCAAACAAAACACGAAATTTGAAAACTTGCCCAAAACGAACTCCCGCATGAAATCAAAAATCACACTTTAATAATTTTGTTTTAAGAGTTTTGTTAATAAATGAACAAAGTTAACAACACACTTTAAATTGAATGGTCCGATCATGCTCTGAATTTTTTTTTTTTTTTTTCTACATGAGTAATATACTCAACGACAACTCTTATAAAATGGACAGCCTGAATTATCGAGATAGACCTAAAATGAGCTCACGGAAGACAAATTACACTATAAATAGAGTAGATAAAAGTCTTTCTTTTAAAATTGTCATTGCCATATCATTTAACTTTTCAAATATAAAATTATGAATAGATTTTCTATATATATATATATATATATATATATATCCCTTATAAATTTTACTATTAACTAATAACAAGACACTTCTGCTATCACAATTTATAGAAAGAAAACACACCCAAATGCATCCAGATAGGAAAAAAGGAAGGATATTATTAACAACTAATGAATAACCATATATCGGGTACGGGTACGGGTCGGGTTATTTGAAATATGGAATAGAGTCAACTCGCTTGACCAACGCCACGCCATACATCACGTAACAGCTAGAGAGCAAAGAGCTTCATCATCCAATCACCGACTTCCTTTATGATTAACGGCCTAACCGTAACAACTCATATATATAAATAATATAAATAAACCCTGAGAGACCCCTATAGTTCTCTTCAGTTTCTATCTCTCTCACTCCAAAGCCTCTGGAAAAAAAAAAATGGATTACGATCCAACGCACCCATTTCTTCAACGAAATGATGAAGCTTTCAAGAAGTTCTTCAATGTCGAATCTGAATTCATGGCTGCTCAAGGTTACTCTGATAACGCGGAAAAGGCCATTACCCGAAGCATCGTCCTTACTCTCATCGAAATGGTACTCTATATATATATATATATATATCTCTCTTTACATTCATATGCTTTTTTGTTAAATCATCGATTGTTGATGCATTTCTTGGTATGAATTACAGCTCTCAAAAGGTACCGATTATGATGCATTTGTTCCCTACCTCGCTGTGAATTACCTTGATCGATTCTTGTCGAGGAAAAGCCATTTACCAGTTAAAATCTATGACTTCAATCTTTTTGATTTGATTTTTGATATGTTTTTCGATTAATTTTGAATCGATTTTCAATTCTTGGTCTAGGCTCTAGAAAGAAATCCTCGCAAGAACACAAAGCTCTTTGCAATTTGTTGTTTTACACTTGCTTCGAAGATGAGGAACAGGGACTTCTCTGTTCCTAATTTCTTGGTAAATACTAAATTTCTCTCTCTCTCTTTCTCTCTCTCACTAATGTTAGGTTTATGTTGAATAGGCTAAACGCAAACTTACGACCAGTGTCAATCCGCTCTTGTTTTTGGTGATGGAGCTTCGTATACTGACCACACTGGAATGGCGAATGCGATCCTTGACTGCGATAAACTTCATGGTATACTTCTATCCTTTCTTCAAACTGAGGCATCCGCAGCCAATTCGAGGCTTCACTCGTCGAGACATTTCACAGTCCATTTTGAGCGTTCAAGGGGGTAAATTTACCTACAAGACTATTTTCTACTTATAATTTGTTTGGTTACCAAGAAAATAAATTAAAGCAAAGATAGTCATATATTTTGGCTCGATTACGGTAGAACCATGATACTAGAGTTTTTACATTTTACATTTTCCTTTTTCAATTTCTTTCTTTTTCTTGACAACTAAACAGAGTTTCAAACAACAACTAATCAGTTCTTCTTTGTAATTTGATTGTAGATATTAAATTCACACAGTTCAAGCCATCAATAATCGCGGCATCAGCAGTTCTCAGTGCTTCATTTGAGGCGTTTCCAGCGCAAATCCTTCAACGTGCAGAGGCATTCCTCCGTTGCCAGTACATTGATAAGGTAATAGAATAGTCGGCAACAGAATTCTATCACTTGCCATGTGCTTGGCTGATGAGAAAACAGAGGAAAGGAAAAGAAAAAAAACTCCAACTGGTGTATTTTGTTACAGAATATAGTAAAGAATTTAGAGTTCTTAATTTTAATTTTCTTTCTTTGCATTCATTTTCCATCAGTTTCTCTGCAGCCAATTGGTGAAATTAAAATATGAAGTTATGTTTTTTTTCGGTTGTATGTGTCTGAATTGAATTTTATTTTTGGGTAATGTGGTTGTAGGATGCCTTGTTGCTGTGCATGGAAGCGATGGGAATTGAGGTCCAGCAGGCTATGGAGGGACTCAAGGAAGCAGTAAAACTTGATGAAGCAAACAAAATTGAGGAAGAGGAAGCAAGTAAAATGAGGGAAGCAAAAAGAATGGAGGAAATCAAGGCACTTAGGGAACAAGGGAAAAAATTTGCAGAAGATATGAAAATTGTGGAAGCCAAGAAAAAAGAGGAAGCAAGGAAAAAAGAGGAAGCCAAGAAGGAAAAGAAAGAGGATAAGAACATGGGGAAGAGAGTAGAGTATGCGAAAAAAATTGTGGAAGACAGGAAAGCAGACAAAGCGAAGGGTGTTAAAGAAGACACAGGCACGGCGAAGAGATTTATTGAAGATTTATTAATTAAGGAAGCACATAAAATGGTGAAAGCTGCAAAAATAGAAGAAGAAAGGAAAATTGAGGAAGCCAAGAAAGAAGAGGAAGCAAAGAAAATTGAGGAAGCCAGGAAAAGAGAAGAAGCAAAGAAAATTGAAGAAGCAATCAAGAAAAGAGATGAAGCAAGGAAAATTGAGGAAGCCAAGTTGAAGAGAGCAGGAGTAACAATACTTTCGCAAGGAAGGAAAATAGAGGAAGCCAAGAAAAGTGAGGAAGAAGCAAGTGTGGAAGGGACAAAAATGGAGGAAGCAAAGAAAAGTGAGGAAGCAGTCAAGAAAAGTGATGAAGCAAGGAAAATTGAGGAAGCCATTGTGGGAGGCATAAAATTTGAGGAAGGACAGAAAATGGAGGAAGCCCAGAACAGTGAGGAAGTGAAGGATATTAAAGACAAAGGGAAGAAAGTTTTGAGAGGGATAAAAATTGAGGAAGGAAAGAAAACTGCAGAAATGAAGAAAGTCGAGGAAGCAAAGGATTTTAAGAACAAAGGGAAGGGTAAAGTAGACGAGGGACCTGACTCGGAGGAGCTTGAATTGAGGAAGAGTAGGAAAGCAGCAAAGTGGCACAGAAAGCGGAATAAAGGAAGAAGTAAGGTACAGGGATTACACACAATTGAAGAATGGCAGAGATTAGAGGTAGAAGATGACAAGAGTAGCGAAGAAGAGGAGTTTGTGATGAATTTTGAACTTAAATGGCCAGTTGCTGAGCTTGAGGGGGACATGAATTTCCCCGAGCCTATACCTTTACCTATACCTATACCCATACCTGAGGGTAGTAGGGATCGTAGGGGGCGTCGGGCCATCACACGTCAACCCACACCTGCTACCGCTGCTGCTGCACATCAGGCCATGGCTGCTGCTGCTGCTGCACCTCAACCCACGGCTGCTGGTGCTTCTGCACCTGGTGCTGGTCAACCCAAGTGCTGCTCCGTTCTGTAGAGAGAGAGAGACATCCATGGTACATTTTTGTTGAACTTTTTAGTATGATAGTCGCAAAACATAAGTATGAAGTTTGAGACTGGAATTTGGATTGAAATTGATTAAATAGGCATTCATTTGCGTTTCTCTTTGATGTTTGATTTTGAGTATGCATTGCCTAATATCACTAAATCTGTTTTAGATTATGCTTATTTGTGCTAGTTCAATGTTGATTGGCATACGTGATGCATAAGATGGAGATTGGTGGAGGACATTGTAGTTATAGCTAAAATAGCTAGTTAAGAATTACATTTCCTATTTTAACTAGGCATTTCTTCATACAGATATCCTGCAATGCTCTATTTTATCTTTAATCCTTCAAATTTGTTTTCCTCCTCCATCCCACAATACCATCAAGATCATCTAACAATGACAATGATATCACTGATTTCTGTATATATAGAGCCTTCATATGAACATTATGAACAAACCCAGCAAGAAAATCTGCTTCAATTCTTAAACTGAAACTGCTACTATGATCAAACATCCCCAATTGGCATGCCTCAACTTCAACAAATCTGAGAAGTGAAAACTCTACATAGTTCAAGAGCTTCCAATAACTTAGACAATCCGAAAACCACAAGCAAAGAACTCCTTAGATCTTACCTTCACTAAAGCCATAGAATCAAAAAAAGCTAAGAAACTACCTAATTTTGACATTAAACAGCACTGCAAATGATTTTAATAGAAAAGGCCTAGATTGTCAAAAAAGAAATTCACAAAAATTCATGTTATGAATTAACCCCATGGCCATGGACTGCATCTTGAATCGTTCCTAAGAGTAAATAACATTAAAGGATACATTATTAGGTTGTTAATCAACAACTCACAAGCAAGTATTTTAGATATCGGATAAGGGGAAAGATTAGAACACAAGATCTATTTGTTTGGATACCATATTATACTGTTAATCACTAATCCACCTAAAACTTTAAACTACTTAACAGAGAAGCAACTTTATCTTCAACATACATTTCAATATTAAATAGATGCTAATATTATTTTTTTCCTTTTTTGTTCACAAGACTTGTGAATTATTGATAAAAGGCGGTCAAAATATTATGTGAAATAAAATCTTAAATGAGCTCAATGTAACTATGTCAAACTTATGGGGCTTGATGTATTTTCTTCAAACTCAAAGAGGTTAATGTAATAGATAAGTTTCTCTCCAGTTCGTGATCAAACTTGAGGGTGTTGTCCCATTTCGATTATTCAAATTATTCAATTTGTAGAGTCCATTGAGTACATCATCTTTGCAAAAAATCACATTGATTCAATATTAACATCCACTTGATCGGGTTATATTTGTGTCAATGGTAAGTATGATTTTTAAAAATAGGTTGTTAGCACAAATATAATGTTTGATGCAAACTAGAGAGAAGCCTCTCCCTAAATGTGATTCATTCAAACATTAACATAAATGCAATGAATTTACCTTAGATAAGATGTAATTATGTCAAACTTTTGAGACTTAATGTATTTTCATCAAAATTTTAAAAAGTTTAATGTAATTTATCCAAATATTAACACAAATGTGATGAATTTCACTTGTAAGTCAATCACATTCAAAGAAGATATCACCTTAATTAGGGAGCTGCTACGATACATTACTAAACAAGGTATCCTTGTATTCACGCTAATACAACATACTTAAAATGCTAACCGTAAACTTTTTATTTTATCATAGTTATTTTTTGAAAAATAGATGATAAGCACATTTTTAAAAATAAATCATCCATTTAATTTTTTTTTGTTTTTTGAGTCAAACACTCTAAAATGAGAAAAAGTTCTAATTATCAGATTAATTTAATTTTTTTATATATGATATACAAGAAACGATTCGAATTATCGAAACGAAATACAGAATTAGCCATGTGAATTTCTCAAGCGGAAGTTAATTTTTTCCTTAAATAACATATAAAGAAGGTCAATCGAACACTCAAAACATCAAATCCAGACCGGTTCTTAAAGAGAAGCTCAACCCAAAATGGAATATATAGTGGTTGTTGTTAGGTCTGGGCATAGGGTTATCCGACCCGCATAACCCGTCCTACCCGTCTCTACCCGCACACGTATGGGCGGTTTTGCAAATACAATAGGATAGGGTGTGGTTTGAAATAATATAATTTTGCAGTTTGCGGGCGGGTTGCGGGTGCCACAACCGCCCGCACTATATATATGTATTTGGAAAAACCTGGCCGTTTATTTACTTGGAAGAATTTATAACTTCCATTATATGTTCTGTATTTGTTTTACTTAATTGACTTCTAGTCTTACATAAGTTGCACTTTGGTTAATGATTTAAATGATTCATAGTACTTTTTTTTAACTTATTTATCCAAAAAAAAAAAAACTGGTTTTTATGTTTGATCAACACAATGCTCTCATATTACAAAATATAAACTGTGCAAATCATGGATGTTAAACTGATGGTTGACATAAGTGACAATTCCATTCAATCTATAGGCAGTCTCAGTGCTAGGTTTTAGATGTGTGAAGTTAAAATTAAACAATATCTATGTCAATTTTTTTTAAAAAAAATTCAAACCGCAAACTATCCGCAACCGTCCGCACATCCGCAAATCCTATCCGCACAAACCACAAACCGCAAACCGCACTGTGGGCGGTTGCGGTTTGACTTTTTCCCAAACTATATAGATGCGGGCAGGTCAAAATCGAACCGCAAACCACGTAACTTCGATTTGCGAACACCCCTAGTTGTTGCCCATTCGGATCTCCATAATCTTGATATGGGTCGGACCGAAGACATACAAAGTGTACGGCATATGTTCCGAGTTCAAAGAGTCGGGTCACTTGGATCCTGTGATTTGAATTCTCGCGCGCTTTTGGCAATGTTTCTGCAACTGCCAAATCTTCCAGCTCAGCATGAAGGGCCCACCAAAACAGCTAACTCACGAATAAGTGCGTAGAGAGAGAAAATGTTTTAGATAGAGATGGTTCTAAAGAGAGAATGGAGCTTATAGATTCTTTTTAAGAAAACAATTATAAATTGCGGATCAAATTTTGAATACATGTGTCATTATTATTATATTGGATTAACTAACATTCCGATTGTGACTCATTATGTGATAATAATACATTAATGACACATAATTCAACATCTAAAATTTTACATCAAATTTATGGATATTATTACACAAATTAATAAAAAATTATTTTTTTTATACACAAACGTAGGGGTGCAACTCGGGCGGGTTCGGTCGGGTTGGGGGTCTGCCCAAGTCCGACCCGAATTGTATTTGGCAGTGCCCAAGCCCGCCCAAGCCCGACCATGAACCCGAGCATTGCTGCTCAAGCCCGGTCCGAGCTTTGTATTTTGAACTCGGGTTAGCCCGAATTGTCCGAATTGTCCGAATCCAGAAACCTGTAGGTAGATCTAAGGGTAGGCATAAAAGATGCTAATCTAATGGTAGAAGACTAACCAAAAAAAAATAAGATTAACTCTTTTACTTAATAGAAGACTAACCAAAAAAAAAATAAAAATTAAAACTAACTATTTTACTTAATTTATATATATTATATAATTTATTAAATTATATATATTTTATATATAATTTATTATATAATTTATATAATATATTAAATTCAATTCGGGTTCGGGTTGCTCGGGTTGGCTATTGGTTCTGCCCAAGCCCGGCCCGAATTGCAATTCGGGCATCAAAAATCTGCCCAAGCCCGTCCAGATTGAAAAAATATCAAAATGATGTAACAACATTATTTATTTTGTTTTAAAGTGAAAATTTGACAATTAATTCATATAATTCTATATAAAAATCTATATAATTTTTTTTATTTGTATGTTATTACTCTTATTATATTATTCTAAAAAATCAAGTTTTAAATATTGAAGTCTCATTACTACATAAAAATTATAAAATTTATTTGTTTGTAAAGTATTTTCTAACGCTATATTTGGTTGGAGATTTGGAAAACGAAAGGAAACATGTATGTAAAATTAGATAAAATATAGGTATATTTTATTTACATTTCATCTATATTTTTTCTTTTATTTTTTAAATTCTTTCTCAAATCCCTCAACCAAACACAGTGTAAAGAAGGAGGATTCATTGCCGTCCAAAATCTGGACTGAATGAGCTATTTGGTCCTGCGGGGCCTATCACAGGCTCCATTTTAATGATCCGAATAGTTTATTTTGTCGGATATTTTGTACATTTCATACCCAAAAAAAAAAATAGGTTGATCCCATTACTACAACTTGTTCAATTTATTATTTTTGTTATCAAAAAAATATATGGTTCATTTTTAAAAACATAATCATTGTTCATTTTTTTAGTAAAAAATATAATAAATTGGACATGTTACATTTATTAGATTTACTTAATTTCTTTTGTAAATAAAATACATAAAATATTCAACAAAATATACTGATAATCAAAATGGGCCCATAATCAACCTCACAAGCCCAAAAATAACCCTCCAATTCATATTTTAGACAGGAGGAAATCCTCCTCATTTTCTAAAATGTATTGATGACAGCGTGACACTAAAATATGGTGATGGTATAGCATTTAGTAGTCATTTCCTTCTCTCACAACGCAACGCAAAGCAAGCCTCTGAAGTCTGAACTGCAAACAAACAAAACAAAGAAGACGGCGAAGAATGGAGTACAATCCGTACGATCCACTTCTGCAAGAAGATGAAATTCGGCCATTTCGCAAACTCTTCACAATCGAATCGTCGTTTATGGCCTGTGAAGGCTACTTCCAGAACGAGAGGACCATCAGTTTCCGTCGGTACGCTGTGTCTTACATCGAAGAGGTAAAAACGATCTTCAATTCTAACGCCTAAAATTAATTTATGATTTTCGTTTCATTGTTTCTGTTACCTGTATTGATTTCTGAAATTCAGTCTGTATCTTGCTTTTTTATAGAACTCGAAGTGTGAGGATTTCGATGCCTTTGTGCCGTATCTTGCTATGAACTATTTCGACCGCTTCATTTCAATGCACAAGTTGCCGGTAAATTAAGCAGAGAAAATAATAGATCGATTCCGTTTGTGTGCTGAGAAAATGGAGGAAAATATTATATAACATTATAACAAAAACTTATG